CTGACACCCCACCCAGAGAAGTTCCTCCCATACCGTCTTTTCTAGATCCCGTCCTTTGAATGTTTTCATCGTACTTTCCTTATTTCCCCACATTCGACTTCCTTTGTTTTTAGCTATCCAATTGATCATTTCGACCGGTGATAATTTGATAAGATTATGATGCATGAACACTATTTCGGCATCCTTCTCTTTTCTGTAGACTGGATGTTCCTTCTGCTCCTTTTCTTCTTGAAGGTATTCAGAGTAATCATCGCTGGGATTGTGTTGCATCATACTAGAGCCTATAAATCCGTCGACGGAATGACGCCCAATGATTCCATTTCGCTGTCTTACTTGATAGTAGTCTCTTCCGAGGGCAATGGCAGCATACAACCAAGTTTCCTTATCACCCTCGCCGGCATCGCATTGCGTTAATAGTGGGTAATAAAATGAGGGACCGAACATGTTGTAGTAGAGGACAAGGAGGAGGACATCACTATGAGTACGTTTGGACATGATTACTTGACCAGATTCAGTGGTGCCGAGGGAGAGGAGAGAGGGAGTGGGAAGTCCGAGGACTCGGAAATAGTGGGGAGATGTGGTCGCCCACCAGAAGTCGGGCCACTGCGCGGTTGTTAGTAAGTGTCAAAGAACAACTTGAGGAAAGGATATTCGCTCACCAGAACATAGCCATTCTCTTTGAAAACCGGTGCCTCGAACCACTCAACCGGATCAACAAGTGGGAAGTTATCCGCATCCAAAAACAATACGTCCTCGAATGTACTCAACATGACAGCAAATATCTTATACTGATATTTGGAAATAGTGAGGTCTTCGTATTTTGGAATCATAACACAGCGCGCATCAAGTGATGGTAGCACAACTTCACAGGTATGTTCATTGTAATCCTCTGGATTCGGCATGAAGACTTCCACTGGTAATGTAGAATTTGTCCTGCGAAGCATGCGCAAGGAGACGATTAATGCGCCGGTAAATCTACCACCTGCTACGGTTACGATTCCTTTAGTCCCAGATTTATATGGAATTAGGTGAGTCGAATTTCGTATTATGTCCACCGCAGATTCATGCGCAAGTCTTGCGGTTTCAACTTGTTCGTCGGATACTGGTGTGACATCTCGACGCTCTGTATCATTTGTAACTTCTTCGATTCCAAGGGTTCGTCCTACACATGCGGCTTTTTCGGTAAGTTTTGGTGGCGCGGCTTCATGCAACCTGCGGACTATATCTGATATTCTGGTTTCATCTATCGCGGGATTTTTTGAGGTATTGGGAATGGTGAAATCCGTGGTATCGATTGGGTCATTGAGATTTGTGAGATCATTCGGTATACTGTAAGTAGTATGAGTGGTACTGATTGTGAAGCTAGAGAGGGGCTCCTGGAGGAAGACAGGAGTTTCTAAAGACCATAATTGATCTCGAAGAGCAAGATACAAAACGAAGATAACAATGATGATTATGGTAATCCTTTTAGATAGAGAACTGGCCAACATCTTGAAGATCGAATGATGCCGTTGTAGAAAGATGTGATGAAGTAGGAATGGGGGGTGAAATAGGAATCTCGCACATACAGTACTGTCTGTATCAGCAGCTAATCATAAAATGGAGGAATGTGGATTAAACTAGAGTGAATATCTAAGCCCCATGAACGAACATGATTAGTGAAGTGATGAGCTTCATTAAATTGAGTTTAGACTTTAAATGTCAAGGTCCTAGCCAAAAGCTTTTCATCAAACGTATTGTCCGATGTGACTAACTAATACGATGTTGCATCAAAAAAGGAGACATCAGGAATTTCACTGGTGATGAGGGATCAGATAAGGCCAATCAATCTCGACGCCACAATTCGTGATAGGAATTCATAACCTCCAGCTTACAGCACAACTCACCGGCGCCACGACTTTTGATGGTTGAAATAAAGATTTTATGATACCGCAGTTCTGGATGAGATGGTAAGCTGGACGCGAGACAGGGGGCAGTATCATACTGAAGATCAAGAGATGTGCGAAACAGGGTAGAGGATGCGATAAACTAAACCAATTACAGCAAACTTCCCTCGTGCCCTAAAATTCGAAGTTATTTTACTCCCATGCCCCTTGGATTTCATCCCAAGATGATAGATTCTAGCTATTGTCGATTAGATTTTAAGTTTTACGGAAATGATAATGAATGGGAGAAATCACATGACTATCCGGCTACTCTATCTAAAGTGGCCGGATTCCATAATGGATTCCGTTCACACCATGAAATTTATTCTTCTACTATGGAATGCATCATACCATTATAGAATGGGGCGTATATTAGCCAGAACCCAACTCTTTGAATGTAAAATACATTGTAGAATCTAGGGGATATGGCATGAGAGTGATTAGTTGAAAACTTTAGGGGATGAGAAGGATTTGCCGAGCTAATATACATAGTTTAACGTCGATTTAAAGCGGTCGATCTCTATAGTGTATCTCTTGGCACAAAAACTTCGTATTGAACGTTCTTTCTCGTCTCATCATTGGATCCTCATGAAAGCCGGACTTCTTTATGCGGGATGAGCAGAGCTTGATTTGATACGAATGAAGCTATAAAATTCCACCGCACATGCACCTGTCGTATGTGTTCTTGACACCGTCATAGTCTTAGGGTAGGGCCCATTCAAGTCAAATGATGACGGGCACAGTAATCTTTGGTGGCACGATGATTAAACCATCACACCATCTGTTGATAAATATATGAAGGGCCGGCTCTCGCTTTCCAAATCTAAGGTCATCTGAAAGGGGCTAGACGACACAAATCTTCACACTAGCTAGATCAACACATGGATATTCGAGATGTATAAAACGACATGTCGAAGGGAGAATCTGCAATTCTTACATAATCCAATGGATTCCTCGGGAATTGAATTAATAATGATTTCTGAAGGCTAGGAAGCAAATTTTTCGAGGCCAATGCAAAGTACACCGACCTTATCGAGTCACTGTTGTTACCAAGTGGGGTTGACAGTCCAAATTATAAATAGAACCAAGTTTTCTTTTTTAATGAGGCTCATCTACGAACTACTTTTGATACAAGATAATTTGACATGAAAGTGTATAAATCGTGGGGAGTTTCAGGATACATGAACTTTGAGGTTCATGAAGGGTTGTCGAGCCCCTTTATCTCAAATGTGCTTCATGCATACAGGAAAACATTAGGCCACATCTCCATTCCAGTGTTTCTACCTCCCAGATACCGAAGTCGAAATCATATCTAGGTACTCATTCCCTTCAGAACGTCTTGCTTGATAAGCTTCACGCTAGGGTTAAGCATTTTTATAATATGTAATCTTATATATTCGGCACTCAAATATAATATATAATATTAATCAAATAAAACTAAATATATAGCCAATCCTTAATCCTCTTAAAAAAGAATTTGAAGCTATTCTAGAATTCAGATTAGAAGAAGCAATTAGTAAAAAAATCATATAAATTTTATATACTAAATTTCAAAATTAGAACCCCTCAAAAACTTTTCTAAAAATAGCCCACTTTCATTCATTCTAATAATTCTATTCGTTTAAAGAACACATATATAAGCTTAATATAATATTTTATATATTTCAAGAAGTATAATAATATGAAAATATATAACGTAGTATATTAGTATGTAGATCATATTATTATATAGAGCACTTCGAAAATGTACTAAAATCAAGGTTTCCTTGATATTTATATTTTAATAATGATTAGTTATTAAAATAAGAATATTAAAAATAACTAATTTTAGTGTATTTTCAAGTGATTCGTTCGATGACATGATCCACTCGTATATGAACCACGCTACGGTAATCATACCTAAAATCATATAATCCGCCCAACCCTACTTCACGTAGAACCTGATCGGTGAAAAATCGGATTTAGCACTTAACGATCCGTGCTCTAAAACATTCCAAATTGCAGCGAGCATATACTTGTGGAATCTTGAAAGTTTCTGATATGAAAAATCCACAGATAAGAGAGTACCGTGGAATATTTGAACATTTTGTTAAGGTGCTCAAGGGTGAAGAATGGTTGAAATTATGCTACTTTCGGCTGCGAGACTTATTGCACCGACCATCGAAAGATTCTATTATATTAGTAGTTCCACCCCCCTTTCCCCTTCCCCTTTTTTACTCTTGAGAGAAGAAACCATGGGTGAAAAGATTTGCTTTCCCCGGTTGTATTATCTCAATTTTCGAAAACGGAGGTGGGCGTGAAGGTGCGCACTTGCTTCGAATTTTAATAGAGAAGGTAAGGAAATTCAGTTATTAGCCCTTCTGACATAATGAAGACTTTGACTGCAAGTGCAGTTCGGTAAAATCTACGAGATCATCATTCCGCATGGCTGCTTTTCTCTCATCATCAATCTTGGCTGAGCGTTATTTCTTCCAGTGAACATGAATAGATGCATGAAAAACAGTCCGATTGTGTTTTCCGTCGTCTTGTCCCATGAATCATAGGATCAAATCTTGTAACAGCACTCTGCGAAAAGTCGTTGCGCTTCTTTTCATCTCTTCGGATGTTTGCTACAGGCATATTTGCTGGTTACAAAGACGAAATGGACTTCTATCAGATCAATTCTCCCTACGCAATCCTACTGTAAAAATTTGACATGTCAATTCTTCTCGCGATATAAGAGGCTTACTGTGAATCTACACAGGCCAGAATTGCATTATATTTTACATGTACACAAGTGTCACTTCAGATCTCATCATAAATCACAGCATTTCCAATAGCCCAGCCTGCGGTCCATTATAGGGTTCCAGGTCTGAGATTCTGGATAATTTTTTATTGATATCATGGATTCATCATCTCACGAAAATTTGATGCATGAATCTGTTCTAATATCCCGAATTACTTTGAATATCTAAAAGGAAATGAACATTATAAATTTTCTGATTGTCAAACCATAGTCCGAACCATTGGACTCTCTGATCAGATACAGTCAAGAAATCTATACGAACGAAGATTCAACCGAAATCAATCCACATTTCAAGGAGTTCTCCCTCCTCGCTTCGGTTGTGGGAACACACCTTTCAAGCCGTAAAGTCCTCCTGCAACAGGAGGTGGGACTATGATTCTAAGGGGAGGTTGAGGTTGAACCGGATGCGGTTGGGGAGACTGCTGTGGTTTGATGGGCTGCGGCTTGATAGGCTGCGGTTGGATAAGCTGAGGAGTGATAGGATCAGTCTGAAGTGATTGGCAAGAACTATCATGTCGAGACGACCGTGTAGACTGTCGATCTTCTTGCAAGGTAGCTTGTCTCCCACTAGTAGTGCGTACAGCAGGTGAAGGTACTTCAGGCGAAATATGGCTAACTCGCGCCCCAGGTATTCCATTACGATACGGGGGGATTATACGCGGAGGAGCTAAGGGGTAAAGTCTACTAGAATGGCGTGAAGTGTGCAAGCTAGGACCAGACCATCCCTTTCCTCGATTTCCCCAGTAATAGAGGCCCGCGAGACCACAAACGGTACCTACAACCACAACCACAAGAATGATACCAATCGTCGTAGATGATGCCATTTTCAAAGCATGTAAGAGTTCCTTTGTTTCTCATGGAATACTTGGTGAAGGGTGGGAAGGTTGATTCACTATTTATATACATACAGCACATCTCGATGAGTCTAACACAAAGCTGTCAGTCTCCATTTACACCAAATCTTCTTTGCTTGATGAAATACTCATGTGATAATCAGAGAATCGTGTGTTTTGAAACCAGCTTTCAAAATTTTGCACTACTTGTTCTCCAGGATAAGGTAGCACATAAGATTCACATTTTGTTGGCCTATAGACAATATTGCCAACAAACACTTAATCATCTTTGTCTGATCAAACTCTTACAGAAAATGGAAGACGCCCAGTAAGACCTTCTTCGAGTATGATATACCCATTGTTCTCCCTCAATTCTAGGAAAGTTGCCTAGATTATAGACTCAGAAAATCAGGTGGGATATCAGTACAGAAATTACCCTTTACTTCTATCAGTAGGTGATTCTGAACTCGATCTCATCTACATATAGCCCCTTCAACATTAGCTTTATTGTTATTATTCAAGAAAGAGAGATAAAATTATAGAATTAGATATTTACAAGCCAGTAGAATAATCGATTGATTAAATCATAAAAAACCTGGGGATCTCGAGTGTAACAGGGCTAAAGTGGTTGATATAATCGTAGATCAGAGTAATCATATAACTAAAACAACCAATTTAAGCTCGAATTACTTTGTTCTATCTTCCACCCAATCAAATTGACGAAATATCATAAACCAAATCCCCGAACTCTTTCAGTATTACTCAGTACTTCATACTAACGGAACGTTTCGGGCCAACCCCACAACCACTGGCCCCTTCCTCTAGACTTGCCCTTAAATCCCCATATATTCCCCCTCTAAATGTGGAGCTTTTAATCGTAGGACTATTACGATGGACAGAAGTAGTTCCTCCAACTTGTTTTCGAATGACATACAACTTCATGATGGATTACATAATGACGAACGATCTTCATTGATCAGATTAGTCCTTTCAAGACAACTTTCTGCCCAATGTGTCGATGTCTCGAATGCTTTTGTGGAATCGGGAATGTGTTACTTCCTGTGAAGATTCTAATGCACGACAGACAGCGGAGGTCTTGTTGGCTTGGATTCATGCCTAGTTTGGCCTTAAAGGTACCACCCAGCTTGGAAGACTATCGACTTGAAGTATCGTAGTGTAGTGACCAGCCACCAGTCTTTCTCATAGTTCGAGACTGCAATAGGAAAGAATATTCGACGCTTTGGATAAGAAACTAACAATATTGAGTGATGAGGGACTTATCAAGATAGTTTAAGACAGACTATAGTTATCGTCGTGCGTGTCAAGTATGACTCCAGCAGAACAGGAAAACTAGAACACCAGAAAATGTATACCCTCTTTTAACATTGGATGTCAATTCAAGGAATCATTATCCAAATGTAAAAATGGGATGAACATTTTTAAATTCTCATACAAGATGCACCTATTCACACTCATATCTCCATCCAAAAAGACATTCTGGAGAGGACAACTGCAATAGAAGTGCGTTTAATGTATGAATATACCGGTATTTGAGTGATTTAGTGTACCGCCTGCTCCATGTATGAATCGTAGGAGTAGCGGCATGCTGTTAAACTTTCTTGATAGATGATTGTCGCGATTCGTCATAGCTTGGTTCATAATGCTTTAGGCAATTCTTTCATTGGCTCCATGGTTGCGGGTTCTGTGGGTATAGGGACCGGCAGGTCTTGAAGATCTTAGATAGTCGATTTCAAGTATCATAGCTCATTCCAGTCAAACTTAAAACCAAAATTTACTTACTTGCCTCTCGCTCTAGAACCCGAGTATGCTGTATAGATTTCAGTACACCTGTTTACTGCCATTCTCCATTCCAATCGACGCAATACGCAAAGCTGCGCCATCTTGTAAATAATGGCTTCAAACAACCTGCCCAGGGTCTTTGGGAACGGCGACGATGAGAAGGAGGTCGTGGGTCTTCATGAAAATGTCCCGTCTCCGGATCTACCGCCTCCCGATCCAGATGCAAATCTGAGCGACGAAGAAAAGGCTGAAATTGTATGATGATGAGCATTTCAATGAGATTCCGATGATATACTGATATATTGTGCAGGATCGTAACCTGGTACGAAAGCTCGATTGGACTTTGATACCATGGGCAAGTGATCTTCAGTTTTCCAGCACGTCTGCCGTCTAACTTCGGCAGCTCTGTGTTCTCTACCTTCTCGCCTTCCTTGACCGTTCAAATATTGGAAACGCAAAGATTGATGGCTTGCAAAAAGACTTGAATAACATGTCGACTGGGGATTACAATGCCGCACTATCCATATTCTTTGTCGCGTATGCATTATTTGAACCTGTTACGAACGTGATGCTCAAAAGGTTTCGCCCGTCGATATTCGTGCCAATCATCATGTAAGTAATTTGGTGTTGCTCATACTGTGCATCAAAATCTCACAATGACAAAAGGCGGATACTGATACTGTTACAGAATTGCCTGGGGCTTGTGTATGACATTCATGGGATTTGTCACCAACTGGTCCGGATTAATGGCTGCACGATTTTTTCTTGGTCTCGCCGAGGCAGGTTTATTTCCCGGTATTAGTTACTACCTATCTTGTTGGTACAAGAGATCCGAGTTTGGTGTTCGAATTGCAATTTTCTTTTCCGCAGCTGCTGTATCTGGCAGTTTTGGTGGATTGCTTGCTGCGGCCATCGTTAAAATGGATGGTCTTGGTGGGCTTCACGGATGGGCTTGGATTTTCATCCTGGAAGGAATCGTCACTGTCCTGGCTGGAATCGCGTCATTTTGGTTGGTCTATGATTTTCCAGAGAAAGCTGGATTCCTTTGTGAAGTCGATCGAAACAGGGTCATCCGCCGTCTACAAGCCAACAATCAAGCAGCAGGCCATGAAGAGTTCAACAAGAAGATTATCTGGCAGGCCTGCAAAGATTACAAGACCTGGATAGCAATGACACTGTATAGCGGTTGTTCTGTTCCTTTATACGCTTTCTCTCTATTCCTTCCTACAATCATCTCTCAGCTTGGCTACACAGCAACCAGAGCTCAACTCCTCTCCGTACCACCTTATGTAGCAGCTGCTATCTTGACAGTCGTGATTGGATTCATCGCCGATCGTACCTGTCAAAGAGGCTTGTGTAACATCATCGTGCCTTCCATTGCCATCGCTGGTTTCGCGATGCTATTAGGGAGCGAGCAACCAGGCGTCAAATACGCGGGAACTTTCCTCGGCGCTCTCGGTATTTATCCTTGCGTAGCCAACACTATCTCTTGGATTTCCAACAACATTGAAGGCTCTTACAAGCGAGGCGTTGTGCTAGGAATGATGATTGGATGGGGTAACATTTTTGGAATCATCAGCTCGAATATCTATTTCCAAAAGCCCAGATATATTACCGGCCACGTCATTGTTCTTTCTTTCTTAGCTGCTTTCTTGCTAGGCGGGAGTGTTCTACTACGTTTACTGTTAAAAAGAGAAAATAGCAAGAGAATTAGGGGAGAAAGAGATGATTGGGTTGAGGGTCTCAATGAGGCTGAGAAGCAGGCTCTGGGGGATAAGAGACCAGACTTCTTATATACTTTGTGATCTTGTGGTATTCTTGTCTGGGTGACCGGAGTTCTATAGATGACAAGACAGACGGAGACTCACAAACAATTGGGGCTTCACAATGCATACATCGTTCTAAAGCGCTTATGCCTGCGGATAGGAATTTAGATACGAACGGAATACCTTCCATGACCCACCCCCCTCCTCTCTCTTTCAAGACTGTATGGTTGTTCTAAATGGTTCCATACAATTATTCTTATACCCTGATATTATCATATAATTATATATTTTGACTCAGTAATAAGAAAATCCACATTATAGAAAGATTCTCTATTGACGTCCCAACACAATGGCTTTCTCGCAGGCTCTGAAACACTTTCTCTGCTGTCTGGACTTAAAATCGAGCAGGCAATCTATACAAAGAGTACCGCAAGGTCACTAGACCTAGATTTCTATCTCTATTCTCACACTTGAATGAAGAAATTTCTTATCGCGCCTCCTACATTTGGCCCGAAACAATATTTAGACAAGCGACCTAGGACCTTACATCAATTTGAGTGATATGACTTACTAGTATCTTGTGGTGCATCATCCTTTTCACATCTCATTAGACAATTGAACCTTAGAAATCACTCGCAGACATTAATAGACTGGCTAAGTCGGGTACCCTACTTTCGGGCCACCCCTGTTTTGAGCCACTCTTTACCACTAAAAATCTCAAAAAATGGAATTTTTAACTTTCTTATTTATAAATAGAATTTATTGAAATTTTGTATATATATAATTCAGATCGTTTTGAATCTAATCTGAAAATTTTAGATTTTTAGGATTTTTTTGTATTGAGATTTAGAATTTTAAAATATTGATTTTTTAATTTATATGAGAATCATATACAAATTTAGAACTTTTATAAAATCTTTAATAACTTTTTAACAATAATTATCAAAAGAAAACTATATATCTTTTTGAAAGTTTTAAGCTTAAATCTATATAGAAATTCAAAAAAAAATTCAAAAAAATTAATAAATATAAAGATATAGTATACAATGAGTTTGAAGTAGTATAAATAATCCCTGCAATTTTGAGGGTATTCTTTTAAATATCTATTTATAGGAAATTTTCTTTTTTTTCTGAATCCTTCAAAATAAACATATTATAAATTTATAATAAAATTTTATAGTTTATTTTTAATAATTTTTAATAAAAAGTTATTAAAGATTTTATAAAAGTTTCAAATTTGTATGTGATTCTCATACAAATTTAAAAATCGATATTTTGAAGCTCTAGATCTTAATACAGAAAATTCCTAAAGATCTGAAATTTTCAAGCTAAACTAAAAATGATCTAAATTATATACATATAAATTTTCAATAAATTCTATTCATAAATAAGAAAGTTAAAAATTCCATTTTTGGTGTAAAAAGTGGCCCAAAAGGGGGGTGGCCCGAAAGTAGGGTATCCAACTTACTCGCCAACCACGCGCCAACCACCCGGGCCACGCTCAGCTGCAAACCCAATGTTTCTGTTCGGATGTGGTATTGCAGCGATTAGGGCTGCCAAATTCAGGTTCTGATGCCAGAGTTGACGGTAAATTTTGTACGGAAACCATTGGTGTATCGATGCAGAAGTATTTCAAGGTGTTCTGTAAGGAAAGTATCAATTTGACAATATATGCTTCTATGCTATTAACTACCAAGGCCGATTTGGTCGATATGGTCAAAACCCTAAAAATAGATTTCTATTTAATGAAAAAGTGTATTTAGTATTTAAAAATATATGAATAAAAATCAATATCATTTGTTATTATATCATTTTTATAATTCAATACTCTTTTTTCCTTTTAGACTTTATAAATACTAATATATTAATTCTTTATAAATATTAAACTTTTTTTAATTTTTTCTTATTCATTTTATATAATTTCATTTATATAATTATAATAATTCAATCTTAAATTTTATTAACTTAATATAAAGAATCAATTTATAAATAATATAATAAATAATATAATAAATAATATTAAATAATCTTTTTTAATCCAATATTCAAATTATAATAATTCAATCTTAAATTTTATTAACTTAATATAAAGAATCAATTTATAAATAATATAATAAATAATATGATAAATAATATAATAAATAATATAATAAATAATATAATATTTATAATATTAAATAATCTTTTTTTAATCCAATATTCAAATTAAAATTAGAATTATTAATAAATACTTTAATATTTAAAGATTTAATTAAAAGTTTAAAATTAACTATAATAATTTTATATTTTTTAAAAAAAATGTGATTTTATTCTATTATTTCATAATAAAGAAATAAAAAAAGCTTTTAAATTGATAATTATAATATATTTATTATTTAAACTTTATAAAAAGTTTTTATTAAAAGAATAATATTAATTTAATATTCTAAAAGATAATATGAAATTAAGTTATCTTCAAGAATATAATAAAAGATTATTATATAATTATTTTTAAAGAAAAAAGAAGTTTATTTTATAATACAATTTTTTTATATTGAAGATTATAAAATATATTTATATTAATGTTTTATATTTATTTTAAAAATATATTTTTTAATATACTTTAAATTCTAAATTCTAAAAATATTTATAAAAATATAAAATAATTTCAATCTATTTATAGAAAATACTAAATTTTTATATTAAATAATATTTAATTAACTAATAAATTAGTTTTTATTAAAATCGAAATTTATAAAGATACTAATATATATTTCTAATTTATATATTTCTTAATATATATATAATATAAAAGAAAGATAAAGTTCTTATTAATTATGTAGAAGCTATTTATATATATTTAAATACCTTAATATACTAATATTAATATATTATTCTTAATTTATTATATAAATATATATAAGAATATTTAATAAATATTTAAAATCAATTATATATTAATATCTAATATAATACTTTAAAAATAATATAATATTAAGGGTTTTTAAAGTACATAAAGAAATCAAGTTCTTTTTTATAATTAAAGCATATTTTATTTTATTTTTTATAAAGTTATTGATAATAAAAAAGAAATTAAAGATTATTTTTAATTTAGAAAAAGTATTAGAAATTAATATATTAAGAAAATATATTAAGAATTAATAATAAAAGCTTTAAAACTTATTATTATATTAATGAAAAATATATTTCCTTATTTTTTATTTTATTTTATAAAAATAATTGAAAAATTTTCTTGATTTATTATATTCAATCTAATTTCTTTTTAAAAAAAATCTATATAATTAATTACTAATATTATTTAATATTATTTTGAAAAATTATTAAAGAATAAATAATCTTATAAAAATAAATATTAAAATTAGATTATAATTCTTATTATTATATTATTAAGCTTTTTATATTATATTAATATTGAATTTTATATTAAATTCTTTTTTAAAAAAACTTTAGATAATTTATATATATAAAATAATATTTGAATTAATAAAATATTAATAAATATTATATATAAAAATTGACATATTGATTTTTATTAATTTTTAATAATTCAAAGAATATAGACTTTAATAAATTATATAAATATTTAATATATTAAAGATTAATAAAAAGAAAAAAGAATTATTAATTATAATAAAATTAAATATTATTTTATTATATTAATTATATAATTTAATATTATTAACTTTCTTTAAATTAAATTAAATAAAAGATTTTTAATTAAAAAGTAAATTAATTCAATTATTTGTTTCATGTGATTTGTTTATATTAAATATATTTATTTATTAATGTGGTTTATCATCGAGTGGATCATATCATCGAGTGGGCCACTTCAAAATATACTAAAATTAGCCTTTTCCTAATATTTATATTTTAATAATTAATCAACATGTTTTAAAAAAGAAAAAATATTTATTAATAAGAAAAGATTTCTTATATAAATATTTAGTTTTTATATGAAAATTGATATTATATTTTATAAAAATCATAAATTATTACGATTTTCATCACAAAAATATTATTTTAATAATAAATCCTATATTAATTAGAATTTTAAAAAGCAAATTAGATTTCTATAATATTAATATAATTAGATTTCACAATTTCAAATTTTATAAAATGATATTGTTAAATGAAGAAAGTGTACGATTACATACAGACGAATTTTATATGTATTTATAATAGCCCACTCGATGATATGATCTACTCGATGATAAACTACGTTATAAGATTAAATATATTAAGATAATTATATAAGCTTTATATAATTAATAAAAAGTAAGGTCTATTATTAAAATAAGTATTATAATTTAATAATATTATTATAACTATTATATTATTTGAAAAATTGAAGATATATTATAATATAGTTTATCAGTAGGTTGATTATATTAATGGATCGGTTACTTTTACCTTGAATTGTTACTTCAAAGTTATATTATTTAATAACAACTAAATTAATTAATTAAAACTATTAAGAATCTAATAATCTAGAATCTATGATATTATTTTGACAGATTCTTATATTATAACCTGTTTTTTCCGTATTTATTATAATATTGATTAGAAAATGCTTCTTTATTAGAATTTTCCTCTTTTTGATATTCATTATATTAAATCTGAATATTAATTTTTTATTGAGATAATATATTAAAAGTTTTTTATTCAATAAGTATTCCTTTTTGATGTAATTAGGTTTTTTATATATATTAATATTTATTTAATACTTTATTTATTGTTTGAAGTATATAATTCTTTATATTTAAAAGTATATTTTTATAAGCTAATCTTTTTGTATTTTTAATTAAAACTAATATAGTTTCAAATATAAATATAAGGGAACTTACTTAATAATAAGTTATTCGAGATTTAACTAATGTTAATTGAGAAAGAGCTTTAATTAGATTATAAGGGGTTTGAAAGATCCATTGATTTAGATTGAAAAAGGAAAGGATAGATATACAAATTCGAATATTTAATTTTGAGAATATAGCTTTAGAATTGAATAGAATTAAATCTATTCCTTGAAATCTTAATTTTAT